GCGGTCATGGACGCGAGCATCTGCGATGCCCCGTAGAAGATGGCGGTCGGGATGGAAATGTGGCCGCCGATGGCGAAGGCCAATGTGACGGCCGGGTTGATGTGGCCACCGGAAACGTCGGCGGCGATGAACACCGCGGCGGAGAGCCCCAACGCCTCGACGATGGCGGTGATCAGCAGCTGGATGTTGTAGGATATGTCCGGCCTGAGCATCCCTGCAGGCAACACACAACCAGAACACGGTGAGGCAGCCGGTTAACCGAAACCGCCGGTTGAAATTGAATCAGCGGTAGTAGATCTGAGGGGGTAAAACTTTACTTACGAATAGCGACGGAGATGAACTCGAAGAGGAAGGAGGAGACGAACTCGGCTAAGATCGGGAGCGCCTTAGCACGCAGGTCCATGTTGCGCAGCCGCGAGAAGCACTCCTTCATGTGAGCGAGGATGTTGGGCGCCGTGGTAAGTTCGCTTTTCTGACACCAGCCGTGTTTGTTTTCGATTATAATCGGCTTATCGGTGGAAAGAATCAAAAATCGCACCCAAACGCCGCGCTTAATTCTAGCTTACCCGGAACGCGGCGTCCCAGCGAATCGGCCCGCACACGTGAGGCCCGCTTTTCTCCCACACCGCTCCGCAGCCGCGTACGAGAGAATTCTTCCGCTTTTTCCTCTGCTGCCCTCGCTCTCCCGTGCCCCTGCGAATCTCGCAGCCCCGCCCCGCCCCGCCCCGCCTCTCCGTCGCCCGGATCCTCGACGCCGGCCTCCTCCGCCCCCACGCCGCGTCCTCTGCCCCGACGCCGCCTCCCCGTCGCCCGGACGCTCGACGTCGGGCAGCTCGGGCTCCTCCGCCTCCCGCCGTTGCGGAGGAAATCGTGCCAGCGCCGTCGCTCTTGCCTCATGGAGCTGCTCGCCGCCGCGGAGATCGTGCCGGCGTCGTCGCACTTACTTGTGGAGCTGCTCGCGATGCCGAACTTGCGGACCTGGGCAGCGACCAGCTATGCAGCTCTACGCGGCTAAGATGCGACCCTAATTCAGCGGCTCTTGATCTGTCAAACTGGTCCCTGGTAGCGCCGTAACAGCTGCTGGAAAATCCTTTTTGCTATTTCTTTAGAAATCTTTTGAAATATTCGAGCTTCTGCAAGTTTAAAAAAGCTTATTGAAGCTTTCTTCTTTCGTCAGAGAAGAGAGGTGACTGCGAATGGTTGATTCATGTTTTATGGGTACCCATGTTTTATTGATGTGACTTAAATCTAACACATCTACTTCTGATCATTGAAGAAGCAGCCGTGGAACAATTCCTTTCTATGTGTAGAACAATTTCTTTCTACGTGTGGAACAATTACCTGTACATTCAGAACAATTCGTTTCACAACTTCAGAAAAGTGAACTTTGTTTCACAACTTCACGTGTACTTAGAATATAATTAGTATTTAACCAACTCAAAATATATTACAAATATCGGCTTCTCCTCATAACCAGAAAAAAAGAGAGCTATTATTAGGCTCAAGGGCATCTAAGTCATTTCAGCATTCAGGACAGACAATTCAATAAAAATAATCAGGATTGCCAAACACCTAGTTTATTTCGACAGCGGATTTTCTGAACAGCGACTTATCAGAAAAACATGCTTCTCAGATAAGCGAGTTACAGATAAGCGGAAACAAACAGGGCCTTGCACGGTCCCGGGGAAGTGGGGCGAGTTTTATAGGGAGGGAGAGGAGCGTCTTCCCGTTACCAGATCTCCCTCACGCTTTTTTTTTTTTTTTTTTGGAATAGATCTCCCTCGGCGGTTGGCATCGCGGCGACACACACACTAGGGGGGAAAACACGTCATGCACAGGGGGCTGTGACGGATAGAAACCGTTGAATGATGAAAACTCTCTTAAAAATTCTGAAACAGATTACACATATTTTGATGCGGTGGTGGAGATATGCATACAAAGTTAAATGCAAACTCGTTTTTGGTTCGAGAGATAAAAAAATAACAAATCGTAAAGAAAGGATGAAATAGTGATTGTGTTGGGTGTTGGAACGTTGGGTTTTGATTTTCAAATGTGTTTTTCTCTTAAGACGTATATGTCTTATAAATCGGTTTGAAATATGGTGTGTTCATTAGAATTAATAGAAAAATACAAGTTTATTATTTTTATCTTTAGAAAACAATTCAACAATCTATATATACTAGTTCCACATTTGAAATGTACTACTTCAACATTTCCAAAAATGGATTCATTTTTTATGAAAATATTGACATAGTATTTATAAATTGATGAAATTGGTTTTAGAAAATGTTTAATATAGTCTAATAAAATTTTGGAGGTAAAAGAAGTGTTAAAAGTTAAAAAAAAATACTACTGGTAATGCCGCCCGACTTGCCTCCCTGAAACTGCTCTGTTATTGGGGCATGAGCCGTCCGTGCACGCTCGGGAATCGTCGCCTCCGCCCACCGCAACGTGAAGCCACCCTCCGCCCACCCCCTGCGTCGTGCCACAATTTGGCCCACTCAGCCCACCTCTGCCTAGCAAGCATCGGTGCCTCCTCCTCTGACCAGCCGACGTCCGCCGCGCCCGCTCGGCAATGACACCTGCCGCATCTGCCGGACCTCGGCACTCTTTTTTTTTTTGATCCTGGGACCTCGGCACTCGACTCCTTCCTGCTCGGCGCCCCGCTCTACCACTCCGGCCGCCCTGCTCCAACGTGCTCCCGAAGACCGGAACATTTGGAACAATTGATTTTTTTTCTTTTCGAACAATCGGGTTCTTCCTTTGGAACAATTAATTTCTATTGTTGGAACAATCGGATCTTCCTTTGGAACAATTGAATTCTTCCCTTGGAACAGTCGGGTTACCTTTTTGGAACAATTGATTGTGTTTCTTAGAACATTTGGTTGTTTTTCTTGGAACATTTGATTTACATTGATGGAACAATTTGATTTAATTGTTGGAACAATTTGTTTAGCTGGCTGGAACATTCGATTTCGAACCGATTTTTCCGATGGCGCGACGACGTGGCGAGCTCTCCAACCGTGGAGCGGGGCAGAAGACGCGGCCATGGCGAGCGGCGGCTATAGCGAGCGACGGGAGGAAGACGAAGCCACTGTTCATCCTGTTTTGGTGGCGGGCCGCGTTGTGGTCCGTTGTTGGGCCAATATGGGCCGTGTGCTGGCGACCGGGAGGGGTGGGCGGAGGGGAGAGCGACCCCGTGCACGCTTCCGCCTGAACATGTGTTGTTGGGCCGGCCTTGCGCACCTAGTGGGCCTTGTAGATGCCGAGGCAAAAATCGAATGCTTCATATATAGGATGTACCCGTATTCAGAATGTAGATTGCGCGTTACTTTGAAGCGTTCAACCGTACATGCATGCGGCTCGCTTACAACTTGGTGAAACCAAATGGGAAATACAAACACGAAACATAATCACAAGATGAAGCGAAGTGGTGGCTGGCTGTGACGACGGAATTCACAAGTCACGACGAAGCATCTGGTCCGGATTCATGGTCTTCAGTTCAAGGGGACTCCTGCTGGCCGATGGGCTGGTAGGACGCGATGAACACGTCGCCGTAGACGAGCCCGGCCAGGCCTCCTCCGATGATTACACCCAGTTTCCGGCGAAGTTGCTGGCAGCGACGGCGGGGCCGAAAGAGCGGGCCGGGTTCTCACGTCAAATTTTGAAACTGTACTTAAAAAAATAAAAAAGGATGAACTTCGTGAAATAATTGAACAACAAAATATGCGGCTAGCTGACTTGAGTAAGATCTTACTAAAAGCAAACGAGGCTCGCCGTACTACGACAGCCCAGCTTGAGGCTTTTAGAAAGGAAGAAGCACGAAAGACAAAGATGGTTGCATCTTTTCGGAGGAATTTTGAACATGAAAGTCAGGTGTATCTTTCACCACTATATTTGAATGATGATTTTCGTTTCTAGTCTGATAGGTTTAGGTGTAATTACTGAACTCGTGTTCATGGTTGCATCATTTTTCAATGTGTCATCATTTCATGATTTGGCTTGAATGTGAAATGTGTGCATAGGGTTAAAGTCATGTATATATCGACTCATTTATGCATTGAATTCAAATCATATGAATGTGAACTGTGGCAGCATCTAGCTTGAATGTTTGTGACGATTCAAACATATGGCTTTATATAATTTGTGAGGAAGCACGACAATTTTATCATGAAAAGATGAGCCTAGAACGGCCACATACCAATAAGAATATGACACGTGAAGTAACGAGTAGTGTCTTTTCCAATTTTTGACCTTAAAAAAATTATTTTTTAGATATGAACAACTAAAAACACTATTTTCAGTTTTGACCCTCGGGTCCGCGCCAGTACAAGTGGCGCTGAGTATGACTGAAAATGGTGAAGGTCTATGGCGCTGGTGTTGGGCCTGAATCTGTGGTGCTGATCTGCTTTTAGGACGCGTTTGGTTTAACGCCACACTCCGCCACGCCGAAGATTTGGCAAGTTGAATAAGCTTTGGCGTTGCTCGGCCCGTGAATAAGTCGTGGCCGCCACTGCCGTTTGTGACGCCGGAAAAGGCCGCCACACTCTGTGGCGCGCCGAACCTTTGCGTGGCTTGCGGTGGCCAGCATCCAAGCAGCTTCTTAGCTTAACTCCCCTCTTCATATTGCATGCGCCCGATGGCCTGCTGGTAGGGCTGCTTGCTGATTGCCGTGAGGTCGTGGCTTCAATGCCGGGTTAAAGTAATTTTTTTGTTTTGTGGATGAATGCGACTGGCAGTGGAGAAATGTTCAAGCAGTCGTTTGAAAAGAAAATCTTCATCTATCCCCTAATTAATAAATAAATAGTTTATTTTAGAAATGTACATCTCCATCCCTCTTTGCAATGGTTCATGGCTTTTGGAGTGAAGTAGAAGTGATTTCATGTGATGCAAAAAAAAAAAAATAGCAAAAAAAAAGAAGCATGGAGCTTTTGGTGACCAAAGATGAAAGTAAATTATTTATATTGTATAAGTTGCGCATAAAAAAATAAAACTAGATGATGCGCGTTATGGGTTTTGAACCCAGACCCTTAGAAATTGAAGCCAACGCCTTTACCACTGGGACAACACACATCTAGAAATAATGACGTGAAGTTATTTATTTATAGGTCAGCGCGAGAGCCTCCAACACCAGCGCCAACCCTCCCGCCGCGCCTCCAATCAACGACCGCGCCAGTTTACGTGGAGCGGATAGCGAGGGTCAAATCTGAAAATAGTTTTTTTGGAGAATCTAGATCACAAAATATATTTTTTTCAAAAAATCAAAATAAACAAAATTCTCTAACGAGTACGACATGCGGACCAACAGAGAATGAAAACGTGAACAAATAAGAAAGTGACACGTGGTCATAACGGTTAGTGACACCTTAAAAAAGTCATTAATCATCATATCTGTTCTAGTGTACGAACAACGGTCGTAATGAGTTCGCATTGGAGCGTGATATTCACCCTTTCAACGCAACACAACTGGACCCCGTCACGTGGAGTAGCTTCCATGGTATCAATACCGAACGCGAGAGATGACATGCATATATAAGTCGCCACAGGTGATGTGGCAACCCGACAATATAGGTCAAATGGCTGAGCATGATGCCTATCCTTGATTTATTTATATTTTATAAAATTACATGAAGGGCAACTCTTTGAAATTCGCTTCACAGAGCATGATCTACGTCGTAATCTCACCGACAAAAAAAAGGCACACGAGTCGGGCGCAAAATGGAGAAGTTACGGTCGTCTAATTTACGTGAGCGGTCTCAGGTTCATGGGCTATGCAACTTGTTATCGAAGTAAAAACAACCTTGGAATGAGAAAAAATTCCTGTCAAACACCTGAAATTCATAGGGCGTCTGATTCGTGTCAATTGCCAAAGCTCCTTGTTTTGTTCTATGTTAAACAATCTAAAATGACAATAGGAAAAAAAAAATATCCCAACCTTAACCTCATAGAGGCTACTCTCTTATTGATGACTGTTATATAGGTGTAAGGTTGTATCTAAGCATTGATCCTAAATGCAATAATAATTTAGAAACAGTTTCGTGTCAATTGCCAAAGCTCCTTGTTCTATGTTAAACAATCTAAAATGATACTAGTTATACTGTCACAAATCTTTTTTTACGGGCAGAGTGCATTTTATTATTTTAAGACGTATTCTTCTGAAACCATAGACGCAAAGGATACATTTTAAGTCTATTTTTAAGCTTGGAGAGCTTCAAACGTGGCACGTAGTAAACCATGATGCACCCGCTCATGTTTCTCCACTTTGTTAATCTCACCATCTCGGAATGCTAATACAGGTACAAAAGTCGAGGACTTTATACATTATACTATGCGTAGATGACTCTTGCCGCTCCTACAAATCAAACGAAATCGAACCAAATCTACTCCTAAGCCGTAGCCCGTAGGCGCCCCCGGGTCCAGTTCACGGCTCTTGTCAGGGCTCGCCTTGTCGCCGCCATCCGCCGCAGGATGCAACGGAAGAGACGTCACGCAAGCGGCCACGCCCATGTGAGCCCGGGCGACGTGACCACGCGGGCAGCACCGCTCGCTGCCGTGCCGAAGCTGCTGGAGTAATGCCTCGCCGGCGTTGCAGACGCCGCGCCGCCGCAGTCAGTAGCCATCGCGCTTTCGTCAACGTCTACGTGCGGCGGTGCTCTGCTCTGTCGGGCTGCACGGCACACGACATTGAATGCCTACCATATTTCTAGCTTAGAAATTCGCAAACTTGTTAATTTCGTAAAACCATACTTATTTGATCTGCATTTCAGAAAACCACAATTATTGCTACAAAGAGTTGATCATGATTTTCCAGAAATTTTCTCATATGCGGGGTCGTGGGGATTGGCTAGTACTACAAAGAGTGCCAATACTTATGGTGGATTATGGTTTTCCAGAAATTTGCTCATATACATGCAAAATTCCTATTACTACTAGTAGGATCGAAGCGGGGCTTGCAAAGTGCACTTGTCAACAGTAACGGCGTCCATTGAGAGCATTTGATCGAAATTCAAGAGGTGAGTTAAATATATCCCGATACGTACGGTCAGCCTATATATCTACACTACGTCACTCGATTCGCCTTGGATTCCAAGTGCTGTATCGCGCGCCTTGCAGGGCGCAACAAAATGCTTTCGACGAAGGAAAGAAATCGCGTCTCCGTCGTCCCTATGCCGCGGCGTCAGAGCACGGCATGCCTCCAACGGGCGGATTTCCTATTCATGCTGCTGCTAGTGGTGGGAAAGAAAGAAAGGTCGGACGGTGATATGTCGCGTCGTGCTGTCGACGAACCACTTTTTTATTGGGACGTTTCCGTGCGGCGCCCCCATTCAACCCCGCGTGTTGTGGCGTTCTGCAACTCCATTTCATCGTTCAATATTTTCTCTTTTTTTTTTTTTTTTTTTTGGTCAAGGGATCGTTCAATATTTTCATTCAGCTATCGTAGGAACCTTGCTTTTCACAGAGAATTTCATCGTTCGATATTTCTTTGTGCAATGACCCTCACACAAATACGGAGGATCTTAGGAACTTTGCTTTTCACAGGGAATTTCTGGATTGCTGACGGATCATTTATCGTAAAAGTTACTCGTTTTAGCAAAACCACAAGATTGCTTAATTTATGTCCAATATATGCATATAAACAAAGATAACTTGATCTGCTATTATTTGGTCGCATCTCTATCAATGAATATTTGTATAGTAAACAAATGAACTTTGGCAATCTCTGTATAAGACAATCGTTGATGAGTATTATGAGATATAAATATAATGGTGCATTTGAGATAGTGAACGTGAATCAATGGTTGTGTTTACATAACCTCTGGAGCCTCCATGCAACACCTCAAATGTGGCCTTGAGACTCACAAGTTATTCAGATCTTATCATCCGCTTGTAATTGGTCGGAATTATCAGCTTGTTCGAATGAACGTAGCTCGCTAGTATTATGCACGAGCTGCAAGCCTGTCGCTGCAGCAATCTCATCCGAACCGTCTCTATGTTCCATGTGTATAGTCAGGCAGTATTGTATGTATTTCTCATTTTTTTTATTGTAGTAGTGTTTTATAGAAAAAGAAAAGTGTGATATACCAGGCACCATTCTCTATTCTCCCTCTGACTGCCCGGCCCAGTTTACCCGTCGCCACCCACCTCTCCCACAGCCTTCTTCACCCCCTCTCTCTCTCTCCTCAATGCGCATCTCTGAACTGAGCAGAGACAGATTCGCACTGTACACATCGAGACAGCACAAGGAAAGGAAGCTGGGAATGCAGAGCATGATGGCTCCATAGTCAGAGAAGAGAAATACGAAAAGGCAGGGCCGCACTGCAGGGGAAGCGGGAGCACCCCAAGATCGCAAAGGCAAAGCAGGTGCCATGGAAGTGGCGCCACCACCGGCCTCTGCAACAGCAGCGCTTCTAAAATGCAGCGGCGACGGTGGAGGCGGGGAGTCGAGACTCGAGCCCTTCCGTGGTAAGGCGTCGAGGAGCCCGATCCGGGAGGCCGCTGCGGCGCCTCTGCAAGAACCGGAGGACGGCACCGGCGCTACCCCGGCGACCTCCCGCGGCCGCGCGGAGGACGAGCCGCTGCGTCGTGGGCTCGCGGCGGCGCGGGCGCGGAGGAAGGCGGGGCGCGCCACGCCGTCGCCGTCTTGGAAGCTGGAGGCGTCACCGCCGAGGCCGGAGGCGGAGGAATCGGCTGCGGCGGCCGAGGCGGGGAGAAGGGGCGCGCCGGCGGCTTCGGCACGGCAGCTGGGCGCCACCTTGTGGGAGATCCAGGACGTCATTCGTGTCGCCGGCGCGGGACGCCGGGTCCGACGCAGCGGCCGGAGAGCGTCCCCCGGCGACGAGGCGGGTGCGGATGCGGATCGGGTAAGTACTTTGCTGGCGGCGTTGCTTTTTTCCCCGGTCAACATGCTGACGTTGGTTGTTAGTTTGTGAGCATCATGTGCTAAACTTTCTCTTTCCATCTTTTTTGTTGGGTTCTTGGATTGCGTCGTTCGATCTTGCGTCAGATAGCGCAACGCTTTTTAGCTTCATCATTTGGTGGATTAGCACCTAATGGCTCATACCCTTGTATATTGAAATCATCAGTTTATCACTGTCGTTAAAGACAGTCATTAACCATCTGCGTGGGATTGTTCGTAGTGTTCAAAGGACGCTACTGCACATTGTACACCGTCCTCAGTTCTTTATCAGGAACCGTTGAAAAGCCAGAATATCCCTCAGCTCTTAGTTTTTTTTTTTTATGTACTATTGTAGCTTGAAGTATACGTTTTACATGTTTCTTCTCCACCCACTTTTGTTGAATCGTCAAGGACTGGAAGTAATGCGCAATAAAAACCGCATCCTTGTTTTGTGATAGTATTGTCTGTACGACCCTTTCATTTTAGTGTTTGCTGGTACTTATTTGACTTATGAACTGGTGGACATGGTGGATCTGTAGATGTGCAGTGCATAGTACGGTAGTTATTATTCCGGCTTTTGTTGGTGCTCCTTGAGTAGTGTTCCTGCTGATCAGTAACATCTATATAATTATTTTATGTCATGTAGACTTTTGGGTATCCTTTTCTCGGTTTGATGAAATGTCCTTGTTTGTAATTTTCAGATGAAAACATGTTCACATTGTTATTTGAACTCCATTGGCGATAGAATGATAAGCTAAGTAAAATTTAAAAGAATATCAAAAGTTCAAAACAAAAATGCTTCCAGAGCATGCCTTATGGACCAATTGTGAGCTGCCTGATATGTTTGGTACACTTGCCTGCTTGATCAGCAGAAACATTTTGATACGACAAGGGTGAACTTGTATCTCATATACATTTTGATTGCATTCTTTAATGATTAGTATTTATTCATTCTTTTTATTATTTCTGAACATGTAAAGAAATAACATAGAACATGTGTTGATTGCAACTTTGAGTACTGACAAGTTCATAGGAAAATCTGTAGAGCCCTATTGGCAATGCACCTTTATACTCGTTCCACATTCTCAATCAGATATAAGGCAAACAGTTTTCTGCAATGCACCATGCAACTTAATTAGGATCCCATCTCATTATGCCATCATATCATTTTGGAATC